TTTTTTTTTTCTTTTCTTCCTTTAGCGATTCTCTTGCCCTTTACCTCCAAAGTAGCTGGGACTACAGTCGCCCCTATAACTCCCAGCTTTTTTTTGGTAGAGATGGGGTCTCACTCTGGCTCACTCTGGCCCATTCTGGTCTCAAACCTCTGAGCTCAGGCAGTCTACCCGCCTTGGCTTCCCATAGTGCTAGGACTACAGGTGTGAGCCACCATGCCTGGGCTTTTCTTTCTTTATTTCTTTTTTTTTTTTTAATTGTTTGGGATTCATTGAGGGTACAAAGAATTGGGTTACACTGATTGCATTTGTTAGGTAAAGTCCCTCTTATAATTGTGTCCTGCCTCTAAGAGGTGTGTCATATACTGTGACCACCCCATTCTCTTTCCTCCTCTACTCTCCTTGATCCCTTGTTCTCCTGCTCCCCTTGTGTTAGATCATCTACTGCCTTAATATTAAAATTGAGTACATTGGATTCTTGCTTCTCCATTCTTGTGATGCTTTACTAAAAACAGTATGTTCTACCTCCATCCAGGTTAATACAAAAGATGTAAAGTCTCCATCTTTTTTAGTGGCTGAATAGTATTCCATAGTATACATATACCACAGCTTGTTAATCCATTCCCAGGTTGGTGGACATTGAGGTTGTTTCCACATTTTGGTGATTGTTATAGTTTTTTTTTCCAATCCATATATTCAAAATACTGGATATTTTTTAGAGTGTTAAGAAATACATTATTTTAAAAGTTTGTAATATTCACATTTAACACTTTAAATTCTTTATAGATGAAATTGACAGTTCTTCAATGTCAGATGATGATAGAAAAGAGGTGGTAAACATTCAGACTTGGATAAACAAGCCAGACGTCAAACATCATTTTCCATGTAAAGAAGTGAAAGAAAGTGGACACATGTTTCCTAGGTACTTTTTAAAATTTCTTCTTTAGAATTTAAGTTGGATTTGGGGAAGTTAATAACATTAAACTGATCTGGAGGGGAACTTTTATTTACCCAAGTACAAGATAAATTTTTTCTGTGTTGGGTTATACTACATATTATGTCTTGTTTGTTAAAATATTTATATAATTTTTATTTAAAAATGTTAAAGGAATAGTGCCTTTATGATCCTCTCCTAGATTCACCAGCTGTTAAGAATTTTTTATACAGCTCCATCTCTGTGTATACATGTGCACACTCATATACATACATTTCCCTCTTATCAAACCATTCAAAGAAGCTTACAGATGTGACACTTCACCCCTACATGCTTTGGCATAAATCTTCCAAGCATATGAGCATTCTTATATACAACTCCAATGCCATTACCCTACCTAAAAAAAGTTTAAATCATTAAAATCATTCAACATAGAGACTATACTCAAAATTTTCAGTGTCCCCAAAGTATATTTTATAAATCTGTTTTTTCTTCTTAATCCAGGATCCAGTCATGGTTTACACATTGCATTTGTCTATTATATCTCTTTAGTCTCATGCGATGTCAACAATACTCTCCCCCTCCCCCTTGTTTCCTTTTTCTCTTCATGATTAATGAGTCCTTTGAGTCCAGGCTAATTTCCCTGCAGAATGTTCCACATTCTGGACTTGGCTGATATTTGTCTTCTTACAGTACTTAATAATGAGATACATGGAGGGGAGGGAGGGGTGGTGTTAATAATTCTGTGTTCATTTTGCCTTAAGGAACCAGTTATAGAATATTATAAAATAATGTAAGAAAGCCCAACGACATACCCCAGTGATAATCAGTATTAAATAAGACGGTATGTTGAATGAGATAGTTTATGAATGCAGATAATACTGTGAAAAATCTGGAAAGTAGTATAGTTCATTTCAATCAAAAATATTCTATTTAATGATTTCTATAGTGTATTGACTTTTTTATTATAACATATTAATAACTTTTCTTAATAGTTTGAGGATATTTGCTTATAAAACATTAATTTTACATACAATTGAAGGAAAATTTAAACTTACATTATGTAGCTTACTTGCTTATAGATACCCTGTTTCTGTTTTCAGATTCTAAAGTAATTTAATTACAGTGAACTTTTTTTATAATTGGGACTATTGAAGCAGCACTTATTTTGAATTGTATTTATTTAAAATTCTTTTTTTCTTTTAATGCTCTTTTTTCTCTCATCAAGTCATCTGTTGGTTACTGCAACACATATGTACTGTTTAAGGGAGATTCTTTCACGGAAAGGATTGGCTTATATACAGTCTCGACAAGCACTTAATTCTGTAGTTAAAATTACATCCAAAAAAAAACATCCTGAGCTAATTACCTTTAAGTATGGAAATAGCAGCGCTTCAGGAATAGAAATCTTGGCAATTGAAAGGTAAGATTTTTCTTAGGATGATATTATCTGAATTACTATTGTTCATTATTAAGCAGTTTGTTTCTCTGTTTCAGGGAGTGGATGGTGGAATAAGATACTTGAACTACTTTTATTAGTATTCTTTGTTACCTTTCCTCCTCCTCATATGTGGTTTAGCCAGTAGTGTATGATTTCAGTAAGTGAAATAGAAAAACTAGCTGGGCATTATGGTGGGTGCCTGTAGGTCCTAGCTATGTGGGAGCTGAGGCAAGAGGATCGCCTGAGCCCAAGAGATTCAGGTTGCTGTGAGCCACAGTAAAGCCATGGCATCCTACCAAAGGTGAAAAAGAAGACTTGTCTCCCCTTCCCCCGCAAAAAAAACTGAAGCCCAAGGGATTGAATGAATTCCTAGATCTTCACCCTCCTGACTCCTGATCAGTAGTTTATTCCACCTTGAGTCAGTTCACGTTGTTCTCTTGGGATTTGGTGTAATGTTTACTTATTTACAAGAGTGCTTATAATAGTAAGTTGAAGGTAATATATGAATGCTTCAATAATGAACTTGAGATGTAAGGGAAGATTAATTCACCTTCTTCCACGATTGTACAAGACAATTAGGTAGCAGACATCATGTATCTGTACTTATGTTCCTTACTGAAAGAAAGTAATATTTTTGAAAAAACAAAAATCACTTTATTTTATGTAGTAATATATTCACCTTATGAAAATATTCAAATAGTAAAGGTAAACATAAAGAATATGTTTTGTAAATTCTGCCCTGTTAGTATTTTGGTGAATATCATTTCAGATATCTTCCTATATGTATGTATCTATTAATATATTAAAAACTAGATAGATTTGATACAGGCTTTTAAAAAGCCTGATTCTTTAAAAAAAAAAAAACTTACTAGTTTAATGTCAGTATGTATGCATCTTTATAAATTCTTCACATTAATGATTACATGGATATTCCTAGGGCACTGATTTAACCAGTCCACTACTGATTGGCATTTAGATCATTTCTAGTGTTTCACTATACCGTTCTTTTAATGGATTTTTTTTTTTAAATTGAGACAGAGTCTCACTTTGTCACCCTCGGTAGAGTGCTGTGGCATCACAACTCACAGCAACCTCGAACTCTGGGGCTCAAGTGATTCTGTTGCCTTAGCCTCTCTGGTAGCTGGGAGTACAGGCACTTGCCACAATGCCTGGCTAATTTTTTGTCCGTTTTAGCAGGCCTGGGCTAGGTTTGAACCCACCAGTTGTGGTGTATGTGGCGGGTGCCCAGCCCTTTCAATGAATTTTTAAGAGTCCATATTTATAGACTTGACCATTAGTTTTTCCAGGATAAATCCATCAGTCCTGTGGGTCAGATGGTACACACATTTAGATATCTACTTATAAATTAATTCTAACTGAAGGACGTTTGAGTTATGACTTTCATGTATGATGTTAGTTGATATTTATGTTTTAAATGTTTTCCCATAAATTTTGCTAAAGAAATTGAAGTTTATTTTAAAGATGAGCATTGTTTTAAAATCTAGAGTTTTAGAAAGGTAGTCGTAATAAATTAGCCGGATTCCCCCTCTCCTCTTGTTCCTAGATACTTAATGGTTTTCTATACTGCCTTACATATGTAACACTTACAGATGATTTATACAGTGGAATTTTTTGTTAGGTTTCATGGAAAATGCTTTTTTAAAAAGTCACATTTTTATGCTTCTGGAAAAGAATATGGCTATTTAATCTATGGTGTTGGTATTTTGTATAATTACCATGAATTTCATCTTAATATTTCAGATCCCATGATATCATTTTTTATTTAATGTATATAAAATTTTACATACATACATACATACATATCCCTTTGTAAAATTGGGATAACCATACCTATTTTTTGTATAGGAATCTGTTTTGATGTAAATTACTTGGCTCAAATGCCAAACTACTAAGTGTTGGAGGTATCATTGTCTTTAGAATTAGACACTATCAAAGCTGTAGCTGATTGAATTATGTCTGTACTCTGGGCAGCAGGATATTGTGTTTTTTTATATTGTGTTTTATTATCTAGCTATTATGTACATTTAATAATGATTCAAAGACTTAGTTTAACTACACTGTTATGAAACATTACCTTTATGTTTAGGTTTTCTTTCTTTCAAAATAAGCTTTTGTATATTTGTTAAATAAGCTGTGAGGAATACATAGGAGGTGTCTCTGCTGGCTTTGTGGGTTAGGGAAATCTTCCCATTGGCGGTGACACCTCAGCTGAGCCTTGGGAAAGCACTGTATTAATCTACATATATTTTTTTCCCCATAGGTATTTGATTCCAAATGCAGGGGATGCTACCAAAGCCATAAAACAACAGATCATGAAAGTTTTGGATGCTTTGGAAAGTTAATATAAAATAAAATTATTTAAAAAGAAGTTAAGGCAACCAAGAGAAACATGGATGTAAATACTTCCTGACTGAATACTAACTGGAGACCTTTGATTTGCTTGTGGGGAGTGCTTGAAAAGCTGGTCTAAGAAAGTGTAAATTATTGTAATCAATCTCTGGACAGTTAAACTTTTACAAATTTTCTTCTGCATTTTCTGTTTTATAAAATGATTTATTATAAAGGTCAGTTACTAAATAACCTTGGAGTAATTGACCCTGTGCCCTTAGGGACACTAAGTAAGGATATGGAATGCAGTTCTGTTTTGAAGAGCTGTTTTAACAAGCATCACTTTCAGTTTAAAAACAACCATACACATGAATATTTGCAATGTCTTCACTGAAAATTAGAGATAGAATTAGTCGAAGAGACTTCTTTAATTGCTACATTTAGTTTTATCCACTGAACACTATCAGAAAGTTTAAAAACATAGGTTAATAATTAGCTTGCTGTTTCTGTTCTTCTTAGAGTGAAATCTTTTTAAAGAAATGGGTAAAGATTCCTGCCAATTCAAGATACATTTCAGTTAGTGAAATGTTGAAACATCAATTTCTGAATAATCTTTGCTTTATTAGCTAATTATTTGGACATTAAATGCTGCAGAAATACTAAACTTTATTCTGATGGTTTTTAAGGAGCAGTTAAAAGCATAATTATTAGTAGGTAGGCATGTTAAGATGAAAATTAACATTTTAGGGACAGAATTGTATTTGTAAACATGTCACTGGTCTTTATTACAAGTGGATTATATGATTTATATTTCAGAACAAGTATTAAGCACATATTGATTTATCCTCATTGAGATAATGGTCTGTGACCACACTAATATCCACTTAAATAAAAGCCAAATAATCAGAGAGCTAGAAGAACTATAATTGTTATTATCTTCACTTTCTGAAATTTCTCTCTCCAGGTTTTGCCTTTTCATTAAAGTTCCCATAGTTTGAAACTATTTTTATTCTCTTAGTGTGACAAAACTGAAAATTGTTCTGCTTTATTTTGTAGCTTCTCAATTTAATTAATGGTCCATATTAGACGCATTTGGCAAGAGAGATCCAGTAACACATTTGGGGCAATGGAATGAATTTTGGAAAAATCGATTTGGGAAATAGCAAATATACTCCGCCATAGCCTAAAAAAGTAATGGATTATCTCTTAGGGGTTGATAGGAGAAATTTTTAGATGTACCCTGTTAACAGCTGGCTATTTTGATTTACTTCTTGCAAATCAAGTGAATAAAAGGCAACATAATTCAGTAAGTTTTATAATATTTACTAAAAACAGTTTGAATGGTTGAAGACATTTGCATGAAATTGCACCTGGTGCAATACTTGATATAACTCTCCCCAAAAATTGTTGTATTGCATTTTTTCCTTTTTTGGCACTCCTTTAAATGCCCTGAAGTCTCAGTTTTTGCCCATTTCAGTCTTGGGAGGTTTTTCATAATATTAATGTAAAGATGTTTGTGTTACTGTTTATAAATTACAATTGTAAATAAATCAGTACAATTTGCTCAAAACTTTGTTCTTAAAGCCAGTGTCTGTCTCTCCTTTTTTCCCGACTTGTAAATCTCTTGATGTCATAAAATTAGAAATTTGAAGGTTGATCTTTTAGAATTTAAATGTTCATATTTCAGATTTGTATTTGTATTCATGTAGATGGTGGGGAGTAAAGAGGTAGTTTAAACTAGTTTAAATCTAATGACACTTTTTTATTCTAACCATTTTTTTGTGGGCTCATTTGGACCTTTATACATGTCCTATCATCTGATGAATTAATACAGTTTCACTTCTTTCTTTCTAATCTGGATGCCTTATATTTCTTTCTCTTATCTAATTCCTGACTACAGCTTCCAGTACAATGTTGAACAGAAATGGTCAGGGCAGACTTCTTGCCAGCTTTACTCTATAGATATCCCTCGAATCCATGTGAGTATATTAAGTTGCTCTCCCTACATCAGTGGTTCTCAACCTTCCTCATGCCATGGCTCTTTAATACAGTTCCTGTGAGTCGTGACCCATAGGTTAAGAACTGCTGCCCTACATGTTCAGGGCCAGGCACGGTGGCTCACGCCTGTAATCCTAGTGCCTCTGGGAGGCTGAGGTAGGTGGATTCCTGAGCTCACAGGTTCCAGACCAGCCTGAGCCAGAGCAAGACCTTGTCTCTAAAAATAGCTGGGCATAGTGGCAGGCACCTATAGTCCCAACTACTTGGGAGGCTGAGGCAAGAGAATTGCTTGAGCCCAAGAGTTTGAGGTTGCTGTGAGCTGTGATGCTATGGCACTCCACTGAGGGCAACCAAGTGAGACTCTGTCTTCAAAAAACCCAAAAAATAATAACTTGCTCAAAGTCACATGGACCGTAAGCGAAGTTTTTAACTCTGGTCTCTGATTTGTAGACATCTGCATTAGAAATTTTATATGTATTTATGTGTGTTTATATATGTTTACACCCACATTCTCTTGGGCTCTTCCCTGTACAAAGCTCTAATCTAGTGTTCTCAACTTTCCTAATGCCACAACCCTTTAATACAGTTCCTGTGGGTTGCGACCCACAGGTTAAGAACCACTGCTCTAACCCAGTATGGTAATTCCAAAGTTTGATCCTTTGCTTTCTGTAGTAAACTCCTTCTAGGATTTCATCTGCTCTTAAGAGTTTTTGCTTCTATTCTGTGCATATGACTCCAATTCTAACTCCTGAATTTCAGTCCCTTATTTCTGTCACTTCTCTGATACTATGAAGTACCAATCAGAGGCGTGCTGCCTGAAAGGAGAGCAGGTATGAAGTGGTTGTAGCAATCTCCCCAGGGTGGGGAAGACCTCACTGTGGATGGTGGTGATGGGAACTGTAAAGGGACATAGCAGGCCCATTTCTTGAGAGTAAGAAGGGCTGTGTCCCTACCTAGAAGTGGGGGAAGAAAGACTTGAAAGATAGCGAAGAAGCCATACTCTGTAAAATAATTTAAAGAGGTTTATTTTGAGCCAAATTTGAGGACTGTGACCTGGAAGCCCCACATGAACCCTTGAGCACATGGACTCGAGGTGGTGGGGTTACAGATTGGTTTTAAACATTTTAGGGAGACAGGGATTACAGGTGAGGTTTGGCTCAAAAAGGACATCTGGTGGGGAGAGGCTTACAGATTATAGATGGGTTTAAAGATTCTTTAGCTGACAACTGGCTGAAAGAGTTAGGCTCTGTCTAAAAGACCAGGAGTCCATGAAAAGGAATAGTTTAAGATAAAGCCTCTGTTAATCAGAGACAAAGTATAGGACAGACTGAAGCAGGTTGGCATACCCTTAGGCCTGTTAGTCACAAAGGACATCTCTAAAAAGGGAAGGGGGCATGATGAGGCTATGTCTGATCTGTGTTGTCATGGTCTGCAACTCAGTTTTAAGGATCCTCTTAGCCAAGTGGGGATCCAGTCAGTCACTGAGGGGAGAGCCCCAAGATTTTGTTTTAGTTAACAAAACTCACAGAAGTGATTTAACTTTTTTGGAGAGCTAGGGAGCAGGGAGAATTGCAAAACTGCATAAATTGTTTGCCTAGGAGTAAAAGCTGGGAGAAGCTCTTTTGGATATAATACATTGAGTTTTAGATGCTGAGTTTGAACTGATGTTAAAGACATGTAAATAGAGATAGTTTTCAGGCAACTGGAAATGTTGCAATAGCTTCTCTGGAGTAAAAATAGAAATCTGACCAGCACCAGCCTGAAAAAGGTCATCAACACTGTGAGACACAGGTAACATTGGGAATAGACTAAAAGAAAAGGAACACCAGATTTTTTGGCTGGGCTTTCAAGATCCATTTGGGTTAGTCCTTTTAGTTTTTGGCTTATTTTCAAAGATTAGATGAAGGGGAACATAGAAACAGCTGATAAGGCTGAATGAACAGATGGGGATGGAGGGAAGCGGGGAGGGAAGAGAGGGCTGCATAAACTCCACCCATCAGCCTCTTGTTCCTTCCCACAAAGGTCCTACAAGTAAGGTGATTTGCCCTCGGTATGAACACCAAATCAGTGGCAAAGCCAGAACTAGTAACCCAGTGAGTAGTTTTTCCATTATGCCCAGAAAGTATTAAAAGAAAAATTTTAAAAAGTTTAAGGTTTTATTTTTGTTTACCTCTCCCTTCTCTAGAAACAACCCCTATAGTGTCCAAGTCAGCAGCATCCCTGCATGCCACCTAGTGAGCATAGCACCCTCAGGCTCTTTGTCTTGATGGCTCCTTCCCAGGCTTCACATGCCTCTCCTCTGCATGCACCTTTCATGGTCCACTTGTGTGTTCTCATCCGTAGACAGAACCTCATCTTACTTAAACTGCTAATGACTCCTAAGTCAATCTCCAGCCCAGACATCTGAACTTGAGGCTATGTCCACCTGCCTATTGGGCATCTCTATCTGGATTGTCTGCAAGCATTTCAAATAAATGCCCCAGCAAGTTTAGGACCACTGTTAGATACAATCTTATAAACTTGGAAATCTAGATGAAAAAGATGTGTGTGTGTGTATGTATGTATGTGTTTTAAGAGGTTGTAAATGATGGGGAGGGCCTGTAGCTCAGTGGGTAGGGTGTCGGCTACATAGACAGGGGCTGGCGGGTTCAAACTCGGCCCATGCCAGGTAAAACAACGACAACTGCAAAAAAAAAAAAAAAAAGCCAGGCATGTGGTGGGCGCCAGTGGTTCCAGCTACTTGGGAGGCTGAGGCAAGAGAATTACTTGGCTCAGCGCCTATAGCTCAACGGGCTAAGGCGCCAGCCATGTACACCTAAGGTGGCGGGTTCGAATCCCCAGCCCGGACCTGCCAAACAACAATGACGGCTGCAACCAAAAAATAGCCAGGCGTTGTGGCGGGCGCCCGTGGGCCCCGCTACTTGGGAGGTGGAGGCAGGAGACTCGCTTGAGCCCAGGAGTTGGAGGTTGCTGTGAACTGTAATGCCACGCACTCTATCCAGGGGTACAGCTTGAGGCTCTGTCTCCAAAAAAAAAAAAAGAGAATTACTTAAGCCCGAGAGTTTGAGGTTGCTGTGAGCTGTGATGCCACAGCACTCTGCCAATGCTGACATAGACTGTCACAAAAAAAGCGGTAAGTGGCCAAAAGTGACCCTGAAACCTCAATAGTTCAATGAACATAGCAGAGATTAAAATGTTATTAAAGATCTTCCAGCCAGGTCTGGGAATTGGTATGTTCCCCCTCAACCCCCTACCCAGCTTTTTATTATGAAAGTTAAAAAAGTTAAAACTTTTATGGGCCATGCCTGTAATCCCAGCACTTGAGGACGCTGAGATGGGAGGATAGCTTGAGCCTAGGAGTTTGAGACCAGCCTGGGCAATATAGAAGGACTCATCTCTACAAAAAAAAATTAAAAATTAGCTGGGCAGTGATGGTATGCTGTCTGTAGTCTTAGCTACTCAGCAGGCTAAGTTGGGAAGATCCCTTGAGCCAGAAAGTTCAAGATTACAGTGAGCTATGATAGTACCATTGCACTCCAGCCCGGGCAACAGAGGAAGACCCTGTCTCAAACAACACTTAACAAATTTTAAAAATAGTACTATTACCTGAAAGGGGTTCAGTGGTGTGCCCAGAGAGGAGAGCAGTTGGAACTCTTGGGGTGAGGCCAGGTAGATCTATTGTTCTGGGAGGGGAGGTGGGTAAGTGTTTAGGCCCCTAACATTACCAGCTGTGTGTCCTCCTATATTTAATATTTAGCCATGTTTGCTTTATCTCTATATTTTCTTTCCCTTTTGGAGATGGGGGTATTGCTATATTGCTCAAGCTGGCCTGGAACTCGTAGGCTTAAGTGATCCTCTTACCTCACCCTTCTCAGAACATACTTCCATATTACTGACCATTTTCAAGTGTTAGACATTCTAACACTTCAGCCCTTATTCATGAACTTCCTAAGGGTAAAGACATTGTCTAATATGACATACGCAAAATAATTCAAAAAAGCATTAAATATCCGGTACCTAATATGTCTCTAGTCCACAATATTCATTCATTCGTTTATTTTAGAGAGTCTTGCTCTGTCTCCCAGACTGGAGTGCAGTGGCATCATCACTGTAATTGGAACTCCTGGGCTCAAGCTATCTTCCTACCTCAGCCTTCCAAAGTGATGGGATTACAGGTGTGAAACATCTAATCCAGCCCATAACTTTACTTTAAAAGCCAGGATCCGTTCCAATATAATCTAAACTACTCTGGATCATTCAAAAAGACAGCAAGTTTAAAGTTCATTAAAGTTATTTTTGATTCACAAATCTGACACAGCAAAAAAAAAAAAAAGCAAATTAATAAATACAAATGCGATAATATAAACGCAAAAATCCTAAAATAGTATATTAGCAAACGGATTGGAGTGTTTTAGAGGACTACTTGTTGCTGGGGACTCTGAACTTTCAGTATCGCCCCCACCCGCTTCCCATTTATGTAGCAGCCTCGCAAGTCATATCTTACTGACGCCACCGTAACCTAAACCAACCAGGGTCATTCCATTCCCGTCATCGCGCCTTGTTCAAACAGCTCAAGCCAATCAGTCTAGTGGGGTATTACCCTGGCCACAGAGGTTGTGCAACCAGTTCGAAGTTCAGACCTTTTGCTGAGAATCGGCAAACACTACAAATCGGAGTCCAGGTGTTAAATATTTACCAGCACACTAACTCGACCTAGGTCCCTCCCGCTTTGCCCCTTTGCTTATGGAGGCATTCTTTTTTTTTCCAGACTGTGTCGTAATTAACTGTTTCTCGTCCGTTTCTCCTGGAGCAAACAGCAGGTGCCCTAACGGGCGTTTGGGGCACGCAGGAAAGCAGACGCTCGCCTAGCTGCTAGCTAGCCCGGGGGGGCGGGACCGGCCTCGACGCCGTAGCCCCGCCCCTCCGACGCTAGTCCCGCCCCCCGCAGCGCCGCGGCCGTCAGACTTCTCACAGCGCCGATGGTGCTTCCCGCGAGAACCATGGCTAGTAAGTGGTGTGGCCTGACGCGGCGGCCGAAGCCCGCCGGCCGGGAGGTGTCGGGGCGAAGCTGGGAGAGGACTGGCGCTCAGCCGCTTGGCTCCAGGTCTCCACAGCGCTCGCGGCGTTGCCTAACGCGGTGTGCTCGGGGCCTGGGGGAGCGAGGGCGGCCCGGCGCGTTCCCGGGGGTCCCGAGCGCGCCAGGGCTCCCGGCCCCGGGCCCAGGCGCCGCGCCTCCTGTGGTCGCCCGTGCACAGGCCGCCGGACTAGGTGTCGGTGGCGCGGGTTGCGTGCGCTCTTTTGAGTGTTTTTAAGTTACGTGGCCGCTGCGGTCCTCCCTCCCCATCTCACTTCACAGGCCACCTTACGCGGATTGTTGCTGTGCTGCTCACTCTGTTTAGGGACTTTGTGCAGCTTTCCCTCTGCAAATCTGCTTCCTCATCTATAAAATGATGTTAATGTTCCGTCTTAGAAGTTTATACGTGCCTGGACTTGGCACATTCCTTTAAATGTAATTCTCGTCAAAGTTTATTCTCTTTTTCCCCTTACTAAAGCCTTCATTGTTAGATTACGATGACTATTAGGCAGCCTTAAAAGTCTTTGTATCTTCTTCACTTTACAGAGAAGTGACTAGTTTCTCATCCTCAGTATCGAGGACCTCCCCAGTGGTGGAATCCCTGCTTCAGCACCTCTGTGGAGGGGGTGATGTGCAGAATGACAGGCAGTTCCACCCATGGTTAGGACCTTTGCTTTTGTGGGTGGGATGGGGAAGAGAGGAAGCCCTGAGTTTAGCCATAATGAGCTTTGTTTTCCCCTCAGAAGCAGACACAAAGCCCAGCTTCTGAGTTACAGGGGCCTTGTGTGCTGTTCTAGTGACAGCGCAACGTAACTGCTCCAAAGTAATCCCAGCTTTTGCTACCTGTTTTAGTTTCATTTATTTTCCTCCAGTCCCTGAAATTGTTTAACAGGCTGCATTAAAGATTAAATTCAGCTTTTCTTCCTATATTCAGGATAGACCAAGGAGTGAGACATCTGAATTTCCTACTTTGGGGCTAACCAAAGATAGGAGATAGGGAGGCCATTACTAATAACTCCTGATGTTTTGCAGAGCTCCATAGCTTACTATGTATTTTGGATCCTTTACTGTGGCTTCTCAACAGAGCGTGAACAGGAACTGTGTGTCAGTCAGGGCCCAGGCAGGACACGGAAACCACACTAGTAACTTGAACAAAGAAAATTTTATATACAGAATTATTAGCCAGTGAAAGGTGATTAAGAGCTAAAAGAGAGCTCTAAAGAATACAGGAAAAGCAAAAAGTATAAGAACTTATCTATACTATACTAAAAAAAATATAAAACTACTATTTCGAGGAAGGAATAAGCTTGGAAGAGCCCGCAGCCTCCTTGCTGCAAGTGTGAGAACAGACCTGGTTGGCAGGCTGGCTCTAGAATTTCTGGGGCCCAGTCTCCTTGTTCTGATAGCAGGAGAAAAGCACTGTTAGCTTTTCTTTCTGCAGTGTCTCGCTCAACTTCTCATGTTATTTTCTATTTAATGTCTTCCCTTGGCCACAGGCATATTTATGAGATGGGTACAGGTACTTGGGACCCCTGCCCTGTGGCCAGGTACATGTACAGCCCACCAATTGCCAGGTTGGACCCATGTACCTGCTGTGTCCCGTCCAGTGATAAAGAAGTCGAAACTAACATCTCCCTTCCACAAGCCTACTGCCCCAATTTTCAGTGGATGAGCAACTTTGAGAGGATTGTTCTTTCTGTCCTAGGATGTGCTCAGAGTCTCTGCTGGAGTTGGGCAGGAGGCACAAGATTAAATAAGAAGGGATAGGACTGTGTTCATACCCAGTCTTTTTACTTCAGGCCATGTTCTCATTTCATCCCCTACAGTATGTAGTAAGAATCTGGTTCACTTTAGCTTCTTGTGCCTGGCATGGAGCTTTGCCCATGAATGTTGCTCTGTCTCAAGGTTGCTCAGCCTCAGCACTATTAACATTTTCAGCAGGACGATCTTTGTTGTGGGGAGGCTGTCCTGTGTATTGTAGGGTGTTTAGCAGCGTCCTCAGCCTCTATCCATTAGATGGCAGTGGTGCTCTATCTGCACTATCAGTTATGGCAATGAAAAAATATCTCTACACATTGCTAGGTGTCCCCAAGGGGACAAAATTGCCCTCTTTAAGAACCATGGTTCTACTTGAATGTAGCAGTCACATCTGACCACTCTTTTTTTTTTCTTTTGTCTTATGTCCTCAGCTTTCCGCTTGGCCCTCATTCAACTTCAAGTTTCTTCTATCAAATCAGATAACATCACTCGAGCTTGTAGCCTTATCCGGGATGCAGCATCACAAGGAGCCAAAATCGTTTCTCTGCCGGTCAGTATGGGGGCAGCCATCCTCTACCAGCCACTGTAGCCCCAGCAGAATAGTGTTTGCTAGCTCTGGTTGTCCTTTGTATGCCAGGGTCCAGTCGTGTCCCTTGGAGCCCCAGGCTGGTTCTGTGTTTGAATGGAAGATGACCTTGGCAAGGGTCTGTGTGAGTTTGGATGTGCCAGCACAGTTACAGGTCCTTAACTTTAGGTTCATCTACTCTGTTCAGATAAGGAAATCAAAATCCTGGTATGTTGAGGCACTTGCCTAAAGGTAGAATACTCAGTGCTTGGATATATACTTTGTTTCTTATATAATTAAGTTTTTATAGGCCTAGAACATGTAGGCTTTATCATTTAGCCTCCAACATATTTTTTAAATGACTGTGGTATCTTTTTGAAATTTTTATTTAGAATAATTCCTATAGATTTAGGGGTATAAGTGTTGTCTAGTTAAAAAGATTAACTGTCTAGGGGCTGTGGCATCTTAAAGCTAACGGAACTCTGCATCTCTTTGGTAGGTGGTTTCTGTAACAGCAGAACCAGTTGAAAGTCACACTAAGTTTGTTTGTGAGCAAGTACAGGATCAGCCCCAGGGAGCGGTCCCCAGAAATCAGGACATCCATCTCCTGGGAATCAGTGGAAACTATTCCAAATAGCACCTTTCCACTAGGCCACCCAGCTATGGGGAGGAGCCATACTTTTACAAAGTCTGGCTAAATTGGCTGGAGAATTTGCAAGGTCAGCTTGTGTTTTGGACAGGCTCCAGCTGATCACAAGTATGGCCATTGGGCAGGAATCTTTAACAAGGGAGCTTGAGATCTTAATGTTAATCCAGTCTTCCTTATGCTGCCAGTCACGGGACTACCGTACTTGTTACCTGATCATGGTCTTTTGTTGGTTCATATTGCTGAGGGTAAGAGTATAAAGTGCAGGAGTGAAAGCACCTGAATTCTGCGCATGCCCACTTCACTGACTAACATGCATCTTATACAAGCTGCCAGTCTTTGGCCTTGAGGTTCCTAGCACAGTGCCTGGTATCCAGGCGAGTTCATTAATGCCAAATGAATGAATTAGAGATGAAGTCTAGTAATTTTTGCCTTTTGTTTTCTGACATGTCACAGAGCTGTTACAGACAGATATACCCTGCCTGCATGGATGAGCAACTTTGCAGGACCAGAATGATCATGCTGGAAGGGAACTCAGAAACAGCTCATTTTATAGAAGAGGAAACATCTTAACCTCTGTGGCTTTCAAAGCTTTTCTATTTTTTTTTCATAAATAGGTATTATTGCTTTACACAGTTATATTGTTGTGAGCTGGATTCATCCTAACACCCAAGTCCTGGGAGTAACTGTGATTAAGCTGGGTGCCCAAGGTTGGAACTTGGGAGTTCTCCCACAGACTCGAGGCAGAGGCAGGTCTAGCTTCTGCTAGGGTGACCAGGATCTGGTAGAGCTCATATAACTTGTCTGTTGAGCCTCCTGGGGCCAGTCTCGCCTGTGGCAACAGGCTCTTCAGCCCTGGGACATCAGTGTGTTTTTCTTATTAGCTGTGTTTTACCCCTTTAAGTAAGAGCAGAGCTAGCAGCAGCAGCTATATCCTCTAACAATAGAACTTTAAAATGGGTTGGGTGTTTTGATATTTTTTCCCTCCCTTTTTCTCTGCCAACATTATTCTAGGAATGCTTTAATTCTCCATATGGCACGAAATATTTTCCTGAATATGCAGAGAAAATTCCTGGTGAATCCACACAGAAGCTTTCTGAAGTAGCAAAGGAATGCAGCATTTATCTCATTGGAGGTAACTTCCTACCTGTAGGGAATAATGGAATGAGCTGGGCATGACGGTGCACATCTTTCGTCCCATCTACTTGTGAGGCTGAGGTGGAAGGAAAGCCTGAGCCTAGGAGTTTGAGGTCAGCTGGAGCAAGACCCTGTCTCCAAAAACAAACAAAACACATCTGAATGATTTGTATTGTTACATTTAAAGTGTGGAACACAATTCAGCCATTGAAAAGAATGAGATAGCTCTGTATTAGTAATGTGGAAAGATCTTTAAGACATACTATTCAGTAGGAAAAAAAATTCAACGTGGTATGGACAAAATATTCCTATTCAGAAGAATCCCCCACACAAGAAAACTGTATATTTTTATATGTAGTTTTGTATATAAAAGCATAGTAAATATTGGAGAAGGACATATACCAAACTAATAATGAGTATTTTCCCTGGAAGCATAGTACGAGTACAGGAGCAGGTAGAAATGTGGAAAGAGAAATTGTATTTGTGTGTCTCTTACTATACTAATATATGATGGGGAAAATATTTTAACTCATAGAGCCCACATTTATAAACATCACTTTATTTGTGTGATTTTGGAATAAATTTTAAAATACTCTATTTGCTTAAATAAAAAATAAGCACACCAAATAAAATTATTTCTGTATTATGATATATTAAAGATTAGATATGAATAAGAGGTAGGGAAACAAAAGCAAAGCAGGAAGCAGAGATGAACTGTATTCAGTGATGAGGAGACTTGTGACTTTACATTCTTTTTTGGGGGGGGAGGACAGAGTCTCACTATGTCACCCTCGGTAGAGTGACGTGATGTCACAGTTCACAGCAACCTCAAACTCTTGGGCTTAAGCCATTCTCTTGCCTCAGCCTACCACGTAGCTGGGACTACAGGTGCCTCCCACAACGCCAGCTATTTTTTTGTTGCAGTTGTCATTATTGTTTAGCTGGCCCAGGCTGGGTTCAAACCCTCCAGCCTCGGTGTATGTGGTCAATGCTGTAACCACTGTGCTATGGGTGCCAAGCCGTGACTTTACATTCTTAAAGCCTTTGGGGATGTAGGTTTGTTGTAGGACCTGGGAAATTTAAGCTGAGCAATAGGAAATTTTTCGTTAAGTGTTGCTCAAGATCATGGCTGAATTTCAGGAACTGTTTGGTTATTTTTTAAACTGTTTTGCATCTGACCTAATTATATTTTGTCTATATTTTGGAGTTTATCTCTGGAAGATCATAGTCAAGAAGGAAAAAAAAAACATGATTACATAACCTGTAGAAGATAGTAAACTTTATTTTTGGACTCAAGTGACAGATTTATCAGGCCTTTACTCTTATCACAAAAGAATTGCTCTATTCTTTTTAAAATTCTTTTTCTTATTGTTTTGTGTGCCTTTGTATTTCTTCTCTCAATAAAAGGTTCCATCCCTGAAGAGGATGCTGGGAAATTATATAACACCTGTACTGTGTTTGGGCCTGATGGAACTTTACTAGTAAAGTACAGAAAGGTAAGTGAGGAATGTGGCATCTTAAGTATTTGCTGTGAAGTCCCCTAGTCCTTGTCGTTATGCTATATACATGTCAGACTTTTGATTGAATGGCAAAGATAGCTATTCTTCTTTTTTTTTTTTTTTTTTTAGTCAGTATCTCACTTTGTTGCCATTGGTAGAGTGTCATGGTCACAGCTCACAGCAACCTCCAACTCTTGGGCTCAA